CTCAGTATTCCCCTCCCATCTTCCTTCCCAACTCTGTCATATCCTCAGTCTGTTGCCGCTGCCTCCCAGCCACATCCCTCCTTTTTCTGCCCGACACAGAGCAGCCCAGCAGCAGTACAGGGGAAGGCAAGCCAGCGGAGGCAGGGCCCTCCTGCAGTGGGGACATAGGGCCAGCCCCAAAACTATGGCAGGGACATGGCCTGAACACTGGCGAGGGTGCCTGCCCAGCTGATACAGGGGAGGGTGGCAGAACAAGCGCCCCTGCCATGCTGCCCAAGCCCACGTCATCACTGGCTGCCGATGCTCGCTGCTCCTGCCTGGGCACATGACGGCCCGACCCCTGGCTCGTAAGGAGTGGGGCGAGGGGCTGGGGCGAGACGGGCTGTTGCCCCCCAACCCAGCCCTGTTACATTGAGGTTGGCGCCAAGACCTCCTGGCACATGTGGGGAATGGATTCCCCATGGAAACTCAGAGACCCTGGCTTATGTCTCACAGCTGGGCAGGATCCACCCTGGACCTCAAGCTTTCCCTGTTCTCTCTCTGTGTCAAATTAAAGATTGTAAGCCCCTCGGGGCAGGAACCTCTTTTTCAAAGGTCACACGCAGCGATGGTGCAAAGAAAGAATACAAAAGAAATCTCACTATGCTCCTACCCCATGCAAGCTGAAGCCCGCTAGAGGCCTTTCCCTTAAAACCAATGTCCCGTCTGCCTTCTCAACTCCCTGCCGTCCTCAGTCTGCTGCCACCCCCAGCCACATCCCTCCTTCTTCGTGGCACAGAGCAGCCCAGCAGCAGCCCAGGGGAAGGCAAGTCAGCGGAGGCAGGGCCCTCCTGCGTGGGACATAGGGCCCCTGGGGGGGACAGCCCCAAAACTATGGCAGGGACATGGCCTGAGCACTGGCGAGGGTGCCTGGCCAGCTGTCCCAGGGAAGGAGGGAGGCAGAACAAGCACCCCTGCCATGCTGCCCACGTCACCACTGGCTGCCAAGGCTCACTGTGGCGATCGCACAGGGCCCCCGGACGTTTCACGGTCTATTGACCCTGTGCCACCACTGCGTTAGCTTTCTTCGCTGCCACCACCCCGCTTCTCACGGGGACACACGGAGTCCAGACAGTTGTTAACATAAACAAATAGTCAAGTTTATTTTTTAAATGCAGGAACAAGCGTATGGTTTCCGTTTGTTTCTCTTGACAGTTTCTTAAATCTTAGTTCCTAACAACTTCAACCTGAATTACTCCCAACTATCTATTTGACTCAACCTAACAATTCCTCTCACTCTCTCACAATACAACTCTTCCAACCCACTCCACCCTCTTCCTTCTCCAACACCCAAGCCTCAACTCCCAACTCCCAAACCTCAACTCACTTTCAAAACCTCCCACTCTATCTTTTACTCCCCTCTTGCATTCTCACTGGACAATCACATCACACCCATTTTAACCCTTTCCTTGACCCATCCTAGGAGGCAAACGCCACACTCACTGATCCTGCCTGGGCACATGATGGCCCAACCCCTGGCTTGGAAGGAGTGGGGGAAGGGGCTGGGGCAAGAAGGGCTGTTGCCCCCCACCCCAGCCCTGTTACGCTCAGGTTCGCGCCAAGACCTCCTGGCACATGTGGGGAATGGATTCCCCATGTGATTAATGTCCCATATTTTCAAGGTCTGCATCACATTCCTTCCGGAGCCACAGCAGCCTCTGTGTGCGACCAGGCTTTGGACCTGGGAGACAGAAAGGAAAATAAAAACAGAGAAAGAGGTTACAGATGGGAATCCCAAAGTCTAAACTCAGAGACCCTGGCTTATGTCTCACAGCTGGACATGATCCACCCTGGACCTCAAGCTTTCACTGTTCTCTCTCTGGGTCAGATTAAAGATTGTAAGCCCCTCGGGGCAGGAACCTCTTTCTCAAGGGTCACACGCAGTGATGGTGCAAAGAAAGAATACAAAAAAATCTCACTACGCTCCTACCCCATGCAAGCTGAAGCCCGCTAGAGGCCTTTCCCTTAAAAACACAATCTATTGGGGGCTCCTGCAGCGTGAAAAAGGGGCTACCTCCTGGCATATGTGGGGAATGGATTCCCCATGGAATTAACATACACAACTTCCAAGATGTCATTTTTATGGATGGCAGCCTCTCCTCTCCTTCTTTCATGTATTCTTGGCGCCTCAGCAGCCTCTTATGACCTAGGAGACAGAAAGGAAAATAAAAACAGAGAAAGAGGTTACAGATGGGAAATGTCTGGGAATCCCAAAGTCTAAACTCAGAGACCCTGACTTGTGTCTCGCAGGAGGACTCAGGATTCACCCTGAACCCTGAGCCCTGAACCCTGTTCCCTCCCTGGGTCAAATTAAAGATTGTAAGCCCCTCACACGCAGGCTTATTTTTAAACTTCTCGGCTTGCTTCCTGATTCTTTCTGAATTGGGTAGGAAGAGGGAAGGCAGTTTACTTCATAGCTGGGATTGCTCAAAACAAGGTTTCGCAGGTTAATTCCCAAATTTTTAGTTTTGCTGCCAAGAAGGGTTTTTTAAAACTCTGTTCATCTCACATCTGTGGGTATCTGGAGGGATCAATTTTAATTAACGTATACTCCCTGTTAAAACCCATCCCACACAGTGGCAAGATTGTGAAACTTTGGGAAATTCTCTTGAAAATGATCTAGAACATGTTTAGGAACAATGAGTCTGTAGGCTGACATGGTGCAAAGAAAGAATACAAAAGAAATCTCACTAGCCTGCTGCCCCGTGCAAGATGAAGCCCGCCAGACGCCTTTCCCTTAAAACCAAAGAATGTGTACACATGATCCATTGGGGGCTCTTGCAGCATGAAAAGGGGCTCAGTCTGCACAGCTGCATTGCTGAGAGGCAGGGGCTCAGGCCTTAGAAATACAACTAGCAGGGAGGGCTCTGTGTGAGCCCTTTTCCCTGCCCTCCTGGAGAGAAAGGAGCATATTGCACTTCGCATTCACCCATTTGCACTTTCCGTCTGCATGGATGGAGTCCACATCTGACAGCCTGGTCCTGTCCAGAGGGGCTTGTCCCTCACAGCAGGGCAGTCCTGGAGTCCCAGGCATCTCTCCCTAGCTCTCCTATGGGCCACCAACCCCTTTGAGCATGTTCCTGTCTCTATCCCAGGTGAGGTTTGGGAAGAAATCTGAGCCACTACTTTTCCACTGACTCCCAATCTTCCTTTCAATACTCCAAATCACAAAATCCTACCATTTATTAATCTCTAGGATCATAGAACAGATGCAGGTGGCTCTGTGGGTTAAACCACAGAGCCTAGGACTTGCCGATCAGAAGGTCGGCAGTTCGAATCCCCGCGATGGGGTGAGCTCCCGTTGCTTGGTCCTTGCTCCTGCCCACATAGCAGTTCGAAAGCACATCAAAGTGCAAGTAGATAAATAGGTACCGCTCCGGCGGGAAGGTAAACGGCGTCTCCGTGCGCTGCTCTGGTTCGCCAGAAGCGGCTTACATGACCCGGAAGCTGTACGCCGGCTCCCTTGGCCAATAAAGCTAGATGAGCGTCGCAACCCCAGTGTCGTCCGCAACTGGACCTAATGGTCAGGGGTCCCTTTACCTTTACCTTTACCTAGGGTTTAGGTGTGTCCTCTGCAATTCAATAACAGTATTTTGGCTGCATTGTTTTTACTGCTACTGCTGCTACAAACCAATGTATGAGAATAAAGTATTTTTAAACTTGTCAGCTTGCTGCCTGATTATTTCTGAAGTGGGCATTTTCCTTCATAGCTGAGCTTGCTCCAAACAACGTTTCGCAGCCTAACTCCTAAGGTTTAAGTTTGGCTGTCAAGGAGGGGATTTTAAAACTCTGTCTAGCTCACATTTGTGGGTATCTGGAGGGATAAATTTCAATTAACGTATACTCTCCAATCTATTAAAACCCATCACACACAGTGGCAAGATTGTGAAACTTTGGGAAATTCTCTTGAAAATGATCTAGAACATGTTTAGGAACAATGGGTCTGTAGGTTGACATTTTAATGGAATGATCCCGTGACTTCAGGGTGTGATGCGTACACAGCCTTAGAGTTCAGAGAATAAAGGCATGGAAAGGCCATATGGTTCAACCTGGTAACCAGCCAGATATTCACAGCAGAAAATATCATCTGGGGACCACAGCTGAGGATCTGCCAAGCTATCAACATCTATGGACAAGTCAAGCCAGGATGTACCAGTGATGGGTGACGCTAATATTAATAATAGTAACAACAACAATAATAATTGTTACTTTATTTCTATGTCACTCCTCTCCCCTGGGCCTCGGGCTCCTCCTACCTTCACAGTTCCTATTCATGTTCAGTGATGGGCAAGGATCTTGGCAAGTCTCTCACCATTATCTGAAAGGCATGCCTTTCAGGGTAAAATAAGGCTTGCTTGCAAAGTGGCACTTTGTGACATCAGCTGGCAAACAGGGACCAGGCTGCTGGGTTGCCAGGCAGCTGAATTAAGAAGAATAAAACCAGGGGGATCAAAGTGTGCTGGGATGAGGCCACGGTGGGTCAGTCCAGAGGGTGCGGTTGGGATGTGTTTTTGTGCCTCCCCTGGTTCTGCATCTTGCTCCCCTGCCCTTCCTTTAGCTGCTTGATAGAATCATAGCATGGCAGAGTTGGAAGGGATCCCAAGGGTCATCTAGTCCAACCCCTAGCAATGCTAGGATCCTGCCCACAGCCAGCTCTGTCTGGCCTCCAAACTCCGACCATCTTCTTCCCAGCCAGATGCACTGCTCCCTTGCAATTCTGCATGGGGTGGAGAAAGGGGAGAGAGAAACGTTTTGCTCTCTCTCTCAGCACATTGATATGAGAGCCACGCCATGCAGCCCTTTCAATATCTCAAGGGCCGTCACAGGGAGAAGGGGGGAAAGCTTGTTTTCTCCTGCTCCAGTGGCCCTCAAGACCTGAAACTGTGACTTCAAGCTACAGGAAAGAAGATTCTGATTCAATCTCAGGAAGAACTTTCAGGAAGCGTTGCTTGACAGTGGAAGGAATCCTTTAGAAGGCGGTAGATTCCCCTTCCTTGGAGGTTTTTCCCACAGAGGTCGGATGACCATCAGCCATGGATGCTTTAGCTGAGATTCCTGCATTGCAGGGGGTTGGACTAGATGACCCTCAGGGTTCCTCCCAACTCTGCAATTCTATGATCCTATGATCAAAAGTGTATCCAATGGCCCTTTAAAGCACATGACGTTCCCCCCAATGATCTGGAGCATTACAGCTTCCCTCTCACAGAACTACAGTTCCCAGGATCATTTGGGAGAAGCCACCTGCTTTTTCGAATAGGGATGAGGAACCTGCAGTTTGCTTTCCCTGATTTCCTAGGAACCAGGAACGGGAAACTCAAGTGCTTCTAACAGGATGATTTCAGCGAACAGGATGTATAAAACATTGTTCCAGGTTTCCGGCTACATCACAAGTCAATGGTGGTTGACAGGAGAAAGCCAGGTTTTATGAGGAAAGCAACCAAGATGATCAAGGGTCTGGAAACTAAGCCTTATGAGGAACAGTTGAAGGAGTTGGGTATGTTCAGCTTGGGTAGGAGGAGACAGAGAGGAGATATGACAACAATCTTCCAGTATCTAAAAGGCTGTCACGTTTTCTCCTCCTCGGAAGGGCCAGACCCAAACCAATGGATTCAAGTTACAAGAAAGAAGATTCTGACTAAACATCGGGAAGAACATTCTGACAGTAAGAGCTGTTTGACAGTGGAGCAGATTCCCACGAGAGGTGGTGGACTCTCCTTCCTTGGAGGTTTCTAAGCAGAGGTTGCCTAGCCATCTGTCATGGATCCTTGAGCTGAGATTCCTGCATTGCAGGGGGTTAGAATACACTTGGGGACCCTTCCAATTCTACAACTCTATGATCCTAAAAGGTAAAGGTAAAGGGACCCCTGACCTTAGGTCCAGTCGCAAATGGCTCTGGGGTTGTGCGCTCATCTCGCTTTATTGGCCAAGGAAGCCGGTGTACAGCTTCTGGGTCATGTGGCCAGCATGACTAAGCCGCTTCTGGTGAACCAAAGCAGCGCACAGCAACGCCGTTTACCTTCCTCCCGGAGCGGTACCTACCGTATTTTTTGCTCTATAAGACTCACTTTTTCCCTCCTAAAAAGTAAGGGGAAATGTGTGTGCGTCTTATGGAGCGAATGCAGGCTGCGCAGCTATCCCAGAAGCCAGAACAGCAAGAGGGATTGTTGCTTTCACTGCGCAGCGATCCCTCTTGCTGTTCTGGCTTCTGAGATTCAGAATATTTTTTTTCTTGTTTTCCTCCTCCAAAAACTAGGTGCATCTTGTGGTCTAGTGCGTCTTATAGAGCGAAAAATACGGTATTTATCTACTTGCACTTTGACATGCTTTCAAACTGCTAGGTTGGCAGGAGCAGGGACCGAGCAATGGGAGCTCACCCCGTCACGGGGATTCGAACCGCCGACCTTCTGATCGGCAAGCCCTAGGCTCTGTGGTTTAACCCACAGCGCCACCCGCATCTGTTCTTTGATCCTATGATCATAGAATAAAAACCCCACTCTGTGCATACACAACTCTTTCCCACAAGGTGGAGTCACAGACTGACTTATTACCAAATTTCAGTCTTCACTGCAAGAGGAGGGATGCTCTCCAGGTCAGCTCTTCCAACCGATTGGATTAACTCCCTTCATCCCTGGTTCTTGGTTGTGCTAACTGGGGCTGATGGGAGTTGGAGACCAAAGCATCTAGAGGGCACCATGGGAGGGGGGGGGGGAGCCTGCCCTAAATAAGCACTTCGTACATCCAGCTGGTTTCAGTTGCATCAGTGTAGTAATCCAAAATATGCAAACATTCTCAATGTACTTGCAGGTGGCATAATATTACAATGCAATTAAGTCTTATATCTTTTAGCTGTCCCAATTACCCATGCACCCATCCTGGATTTTTTAAAGGCTTTTAACTTTTCTTTAGAAGTGATGTTAAAATGGATGCTACTTTGATAAAAGTTGCTGTCCTTGGTGTCTTTTAATGCAGGGCATTTTATAATATTTTATGGGAAGCCATCCTGACCATGAATTTGAAAGGCAGAGAATAAATAGATAAAGTCCTGAGAACTGGGAGATAGGATCTCGAGGAGAGTTCTCGACACCCAGAGAATTACCATATTTACTCGAATCTAAAACACACCTTTTTTGGTCAAATTATGTTACGAAAATTAAGGTGCTCATTAGATTCGATGGTACATTTACATTCCCCAGCAAATACTCTTTTTGGTTTCAAGGTTCTGAAAACTGAGGTGTGCATTAGATTCGATGGTGCATTAGGCTCAAGTAAACACTGTGCTAGGGACGCGGGTGGCGCTGTGGGTTAAACCACAGAGCCTAGGACTTGCCGATCAGAAGGTTGGTGGTTCGAATCCCCGCTACGGGGTGAGCTCCCGTCCTCGGTCCCTGCTCCTGCCAACCTAGCAGTTTGAAAGTACGTCAAAATGCAAGTAGATAAATAGGTACCACTCCGGTGGGAAGGTAAACGGCGTTTCCGTGCGCTGCTCTGGTTTGCCAGAAGCGGCTTGGTCATGCTGGCCACATGACCCGGAAGCTGTACGCCGGCTCCCTCTGCCTGTAAAGCGAGATGAGCGCTGCAACCCCAGAGTCGGCCACGACTGGATCTAATGGTCAGGGATCCCTTTACCCTTTAAACACTGTGCTAAATGTGGCTCAGGTTCAGGCTATCTGAAAGACCCTATTCGCTCCTACGAACCTGCCCTGGTTTTGAGATCTTTGGGGCAGGCCCTTCTCTCGGTCCCACCACCTTTGCTGGCATGCTTGTTAGGAAAGCAGAAGAGGGTCTTCTCAGTGGCCGCTCCCAGATTTTGGCACTCCCTAGAGAAGCTAGACTGGGTCTCACCTTCTTGTCCTTCTGCTGGCAAGTGAAGACCTCCTTGTTCCAAAGGCAGGATATAGATAAATATATAATAATAGGTAAAGGTAGATAAAGGTAAAGGACTCCTGGGTGGTTAAGTCCAGTCAAAGGCGACTATGGTGTGCAGCACCCATCTCACTTTCAGGCCAAGGGAGCTGGCATTTGTCCACAGACAGCTTTCCGGGTCATGTGGCCAGCAGGACTAAACCGCTTCTGGTGCAACGGGACACCGTGACGGAAACCAGAGCGCACAGAAACGCTGTTTACCTTCCCGCTGATGGGCGTTGGAGACCAAAGCATCTTGAGGGCACCATTTGGGGGATTAAAGGTAAAGGGACTCCTGACCATTAGGTCCAGTCATGGCCGACTCTGGGGTTGCGGCGCTAATCTCGTTTATTGGCCGAGGGAGCCGGCACACAGCTTCCCGGTCATGTGGCCAGAATGACTAAGCCGCTTCTGGCGAACCAGAGCAGCGCATGGAAACGCTTTTTACCTTCCCACCAGAGCGGTACCTATTTATCTACTTGCATTGGTGTGCTTTCGGACTGCTAGATTTGCAGGAGCTGGGGCAGAGTAACAGGAGCTCACTCTGTCGCGGGGATTCGAACCGCCGACCTTCTTATCGGCAAGCCCAAGAGGCTCAGTGGTTTAGACCACAGCACCACCGGCTTCCCTTTTCCAGAAGCAGAGTGGTGTTTTGGGGCAAGTTCCTTGCCTGGGGTCATCTCACGTTAAAGAGTGCTGTGCAAAAGCAACAGTTTATGGCTGAGTAAGATTCTTCTGGTTCTTAAAGGGGACAGTCGCCCATTCCTGAGATATGGGGGTAACAGAACACAGCTTGTTTTGCAGCGCAGGGGTAGAGAAACCTCACTTCCTCATTGAAGCATCTCACATCCGGCTTCGTTTTTGAGCTCCCCTGAGAATAAGGGGAAAGGAAACAACATTAACCTCATAGAGTAAGCACGCTTTTTTTTAAAAAAACCCAACAACAATCATTGATTCATCGCATGGATTCGAACCGCCAACCTTCCAATCGGCAAGCCCAAGAGGCTTAGTGGTTTAGACCACAGCGCCACCCGCATCCTTATATATAATAATGTGGTACCTCTGGTTATGTACTTAATTCGTTCCAGAGGTTAGTTCTTAACCTGAAACTGTTCTTAACCTGAAGCGCCACTTTAGCTAATGGGGCCTCCCACTGCTGCTGCGCCGCCAGAGCACGATTTCTGTTCTCATCCTGAAACAGAGTTCTTAACCCGAGGTACTATTTCTGGGGTAGCAGAGTCTGTAACCTGAAGCATATGTAACCTGAAGCGTATGTAACCCGAGGTACCACTGTAGTAATAAGGCAAGGGGGGGGCGGGGGAGAGAAAGAGAAGGAATTTTTATTGCAATACTCCCCCAGGCCCAGCAGGTGGCACTAGCGAACAAAAGGTAGGAGGGGAAGGGGAAGAGAAGTAGCAATGCTAAATTCACCAAATATAAACCTCAGTGACCACACCAGTGACCTCAGCCTCACGTTATGATGACAAGGTTTCAGTATTCCGTTCTTATGCAAACTTTGGTGGCCCAAACAGTGATTCACTGAGCGAGTTCATGCAAGGCAGTGCAGAAGCTTTGCAGGCTAGAGGAGTGAGGATGCATACAGTGGTACCTCGGGTTACATACGCTTCAGGTTACATACACTTCAGGTTACAGACTCCGCTAACCCAGAAATAGTACCTCGGGTTAAGAACTTTGCTTCAGGATGAGAACAGAAATCGTGCTGTGGCAGCGGGAGGCCCCATTAGCTAAAGTGGTGCTTCAGGTTAAGAACAGTTTCAGGTTAAGAACGGACCTCTGGAACGAATTAAGTACCTAACCCGAGGTACCACTGTACCTGCCCTGTAATATTCGAACACACAGCAGTGCTGTCCTGCCCAGTGCGGCAGAAAGAAGATGAGCCAAAGGCTCAATGTTACATATGTGGTGGACCTGTAAAAAAAATAAAGGAATTTTGGGATGTAATTTATAGTGAGCTAAAAATGCGAGAGAAATATTCTTGTATGCTATGGCAGCTGCAAGAATATTAATCGCTATGAATTGGAAAGGAGGGAAGGCAGGGCTGATTTCCTTCAGAATGGAGAGGTTTGATCTTCTTGCAGTCCATGGGACTCTCAAGAGTCTCCTCCAGAACCATAATTCAAAAGCATCAATTCTTCGGCGATCAGCCTTCTTTATGGTCCAGCTCTCACTTCCATACATCACTACTGGGAAAACCATGGCTTTAACTACATGGACCTTTGTTGGCAAGGTGATGTCTCTGCTTTTAAGATGCTGTCTAGGTTTGCCATCGCCTTTCTCCCAAGGAGCAGGCGTCTTTTAATTTCGTGACTGCTGTCACCATCTGCAGTGATCATGGAGCCCAAGAAAGTAAAATCTCTCACTGCCTCCATTTCTTCCCCTTCTCTTTGCCAGGCTATTACTTAATTTTCTCAAATGCTAAATGCCATTAAAAAAAAAGTTGCAAAAGAGGAGTCATTTGTGGTATTAATCAACCTTTCCCCTACTATTATGTGAAGCAATTAATATGTTGAATTGTTACAAGCAAGTGTCACAGAATGACTAAGGGTTTTTTTTTAAAATAAAAAAAGATGCATAATCATCAGAGCAATGCTAAGTCATCTTTGCACAAAGAGAATTAGGAAGCAGTGTCAGAGGAAGTTGATTGCCCGTTCTTTCCCAAACTTGAATCAAAATTCTGGTGTATAATAACTTCCATGCGTGACTTCATACGTAAAAAAAATAAATCATACAGCATTGCGGCTTTCAAACTGTGTCCCTTAGTTTACACCAAGAATGTTACACATTTGGGTGGTTTCCCAGCCACCTCGAAAACCTCATAGCTTAAAGTAGAACCATCGTATCTGTAATGCAAGTTTAAGGGGCTGCTTTGAATTCGAATGCCTAGGGGGACAGTACAAAGGGACAGTAACACTTATCTCCTCTTTTGTTCATGCTTTTGTTTCAGAGTTCCACAGTTCTGAATCATGTGCTCAGTATACTTTTCATTTTCAAATCCAGCCTATGTTGCTTCTTATTTGGGTTGCTGCAATGCTACATAAAGCAGGAATGGGGATATGTGGTCCTCCAGGTGTTGTTGAACTACACTTCCCATCATCCCTGCCTGTTGGTCATGCTGGCTTGGGTTGATGGATGTCCAGCAACATCTCAAGGGGCATAGGTTCCCCATCCCTGACATGAAGGAACAGAGTACAGTGGTACCTCGGGTTAAGTACTTAATTTGTTCCGGAGGTCTGTTCTTAACCTGAAACTGTTCTTAACCTGAAGCACCACTTTAGCTAATGGGGCCTGCTGCTGCTGCTGCCGCGCCGTCGTTGTGTGCTTTCTGTTCTCATCCTGAAGCAAAGTTCTTAACCCGAGGTACTATTTCTGGGTTAGCGGAGTCTGTAACCTGAAGTGTATGTAACCTGAAGCATATGTAACCCGAGGTACCACTGTAGAGGGAAGGAAAAGCCATATTTGTAACTGCTGTAGCCAAAAGGGTTCCTAGGATTTGGATCTGTGTGTAAGTAGGGCTTCTTCTTCTTCTTCTTCTTCTTCTTCTTCTTCTTCTTCTTCTTCTTATCACTCGTAGCCAAGTAAGATTGTCTTCCATGAACACGGTCTTAATAGTGATTCCTTAAGTGACTGTGGAGGCCAATTCTGGATCCCCACGTCCTTCCACAGTGGGGACCTAGGTTTCCAGGCAGGAGTTGATCACGGTGAGGGTTTGGCAAACATGCCTTCCTCTTAACACGTTTCTCCCTTTCGTCCTGAGTTCAAGCGTCTTCAAAGCCCATGACACCTTTGGTAAAGGTTGATTTCCAATTGGAGCCCTGGCAGGCAAGTGTTTCCCAGTTGTCTGTGTTTATACTACATTTTTAAAGATTTGCCTTGAGAGAGTTTTGAACCTCTTTTGTTGACCACCAACATTACGCTTTCCATTTTCATGTTCGGAATAGAGTACAGTGGTACCTCGGGTTACATACGCTTCAGGTTACAGACTCCGCTAACCCAGAAATAGTACCTTGGGTTAAGAACTTTGCTTCAGGATGAGAACAGAAATCGTGCTCCAGCGGCATGGCGGCAGCTGGAGGCCCCGTTAGCTAAAGTGGTAAATCAGGTTGATAACGGTTTCAGGTTAAGAATGGACCTCCGGAACGAATTAAGTACGTAACCCGAGGTACCACTGTAGTTGCTTTGGAAGACAATAATCAGGCATCCACACAACATGACCAGTCCAACGAAGTTGATGTTGAAGAATCATTGCTTCAACACTGGTGATCTTTGCTTCTTCCAGTACACTGGTATTAGTTCGCCTGTCTTCCCAAGTGATGTGTAAAAATTTTCGGAGACACCATTGATGGAATCTTTCGAGGAGTTGGAGACGGCCCTTCATCTGAAGATCACAGGGTGGTTTACAACATAAATAAGAACACAAAATACAAAATAGAACAAAACCAAAAACAAACCAATGACCTCCACCCCACAAACACATTTAAATGGCCATAGAATGTTAATCAGCCAAAGGAATGGTTTTGCTTGGCGCTTGCAGATAGCCTAAATATATCGAATGAAGGTGCCAGGCGAGTTTCTCTGGAGAGAGCATTCCACAAATGGGGAGCCACCACAGAAAAGGCCTGTTCTTAGGTTGCCACCCTCCAGATCTCTCACTGGTGAGGCACGTGAAGAAGGGCCTCAGATGATGATCACAGGGTTTGCTTCAGTTCATATGGGGAGAGTGGGTGCTTGAGGTATTGTGGTCCAGTGGTCAGGAAAGATGAGCATCATAGTCCAACAATATCTGGAAGGCCACAAATTCAGCTCTCCTGATATAAACCTTCACTTATTCTAGCACAACCAGTTACCAAGAACATCCAATTTACTTGTCAGATTCCTTCCTCAGAATTTTATTTTTCCCTACTGCTCTCAGTGACCATATTACTTCTGCTGGTTATACCCATGTTCTGTTGAAAATTATTTTAAAACCTTGCTAATTTTGTCTGTGTTTTATGGATACTTACCAGGCTTGTAACCAGTGTTGTTTGGGAATTCTAAGAAACTTTAAAAGATCAGTGCCATTTTGAAATCAGTAGTGAAATTCAGTGCTGTCTTGAAAGGTTCGGCCTGCCATCGTAATTGAAAATGGCGTCCAATTGTGACCAAACATGGACAAAACCTGCTCCTTGATCTCAGGAACCGTCATGCAAAACTTGGTTACGATATCTTAAGAGGTGTCTAAATGTGCAGCGAACAAACAGCTTTCTAGAATATATAATAGGTCACTTTGTGTATATGTATATGCTAATTTTATCTGCATTGTTAACTATCTTATGGTGTCCACCTCCTAGAGGTTTTTCAGATTCACCGGTCTATAAATTTTCCTAAATAAACAAGCAAACTACAGTGGTACCCCAGGTTAAGTACTTAATTCGTCCCGGAGGTCCGTTCTTAACCTGAAACTGTTCTTAACCTGAAGCACCACTTTAGCTAATGGGGCCTCCTGCTGCTGCCGCGCCACCAGAGCACGATTTCTGTTCTCATCCTGAAGCAAAGTTCTTAACCTGAGGTAATATTTCTGGGTTAGCGGAGTTTGTAACCTGAAGCGTATGTAACCTGAAGCGTATGTAACCCGAGGTACCACTGTACAAGCTTCCTCTGCCATTCCTCTTTTATAAATTCCACCCATCATTTCTTTTATAGGGTTCAACTAAGCCACAATCTCTGGTTCTAAGCCTTCGCTGAATCCTTTTATCTGCAGCAATCTCTCATCTAGTGCCTCTTGAGGGAACAGTCATGGTTACAGGCTCCACAAAACATGCACAACCCACCTTTCATCAGGCTTTATCTTTCTCTTGCCGGAATTTTAAGAATTCCTTCCCTGAAATTAGCTAAGCATCTGCGATGTTGAGTCTTCTGGCTTTCAGCGTTGGCCTTTGTGGACTCTGAGATACTTCTCATTTTCGCAGTCGTTATGCCGAGGGTGGTGGAACAGTTCTTGGTTTAAGCTTCCATCTCTGGTGATGACTTCATTTTCCTTCCGCAATGATTTCCTCTCATGCTCTCTTTCCCCCTCTATTCCATCCCAGCAGAGAATGAGAAGAAGACAAGAGGGATGATATAAACAGAAGTGATTGTAAGCTGTTTCTGTATGCAGTGACGGCAGCAAGAATATTATTGGCACAAAGATGGAAGCAAGAAGAACTACCGACGAAAGAAGGATGAAACTGATGGACTATGCAGAACTAGACAAACTAACATGAAGAATTCGAAACCGGCAGGACCAGAGCTTCACAGAAGATTGGCGTAAATTTACGGACTATTTGAAAAGTAGTAGTGATGACCAGATTACATTTGTAGGTTTGCAGGAAGTTTTGTAAGGGAAATAATCGGAACTATTGCTTTTTTGAACGAAAAAGATGAGGTTAGTTATGATAATTAAAGCAATATGAATTTAAGAAATGCAGAATAAATTATAAAAATGGCAGATCACCAGAGGTGCTGATGGAAGTCCAAAAAGATTGCATAAGAGATGAAATTTTGTGGAATGTATGACAATTATTATGTTTGAAAATTAATAAAAAATATATTTTTTTAAAAAAAAGAGAGAATGAGAAGAAGAGAAGAATCTCCATCCAAGCCAAGGAAATCCTGGGTTGAGCAGGCGTGGCCAGCATGAAGTACAAAAAAGGAGCTTCTGTACATAATGTGGGTTGAAATCCAGTGCATCTAAGCTTGCTTCCACAGACTAAGCATTTGCTAGGGAAGAGTGATGTTTCCTTCACTCAACTTTCACAGGGTATCTGCACAACCTTCGCAACATCCATGGCTTCCACACACACCAGGGCTTAGTCATTTCAATCTCCTGGTCCTCCGACTGCTTCTGCCATTGTGGCTGTTAGGTAGCCTCTTTGCTGAGTCAGCTTCACTGGGTTTCCTAGAGCTCATTCTCAGTTCCTCATTGCATCTGGTGAGCTCAGCCTGCTTCTGTAAGAACCTGCTCTCTGACCGTCTGTGCCCTTGGGAAGATCCTTATTCTGTGAATAGCTTTGACTCCTGACTAGGATATTATTATTATTAATACACCACCCTATACCTGGGTGTCTCAGGGCAGTTCACAGAATAAAATCAAGATATAAAACCACAAAATACATAATAAAAATTAAAACAACAACCCAGTAGCCCTACCACACCACCCACACAAAAAAGCATTTTATAAGGGCATAGGATAGAAATCAGATCAACCAAAGGCCTGGTTAAAAAGGAACCTTTTTGCCTGGCGCCTAAAGGTGTATAATGAAGGCACCAGGAGAACTTCCCTGGGGAGAGCATTCCACAAACGGGGAGCCACTGCAGAGAAGGCCCATTCTCGTGTTGCCACCCTTCGGACCTCTCGAGGATAGTCCTTCCTTTAATGTCTTTGCAACCACAATTACACCCGTGGTGCCATGATTTTATTTGAAGGGAGCCAAGGTTGCTTCCAGATGGGGACCTTTGATCACAAATGAGTTGTTCAGATCCAGTTTTCCCAAGTGCGTGTTTTGTGCATTAGCTTCCAGCCTTCCCTAATTTTTTTTAGTCACGATTTCCTGCCGTTTGCCATCCCCAACAGTGAAACAACCTTCACTGAATGTATCTGGAGGGTCTATATTATACATGTACTCGGCATAGCTGTCAACCGTCCCTTATTTGGCGGGAAACTCCCTTATCCCAGCGACGTGTCCCGCTGCTGTCCCTTATTGATGATGTCCCTTAAATTTCCCGGGTTTCATGCTCGCCCGGCTTGAGAGGGAAGCAGTGGCTCGGGGTCCTCCGCCGCGAGAGAGAGAGCATGTGCGCACGAGCTGCCACGTCTCCGTCTCTCCTTTTTCCCCCTCAGGGGCGCATCGTGATGAAGATGGCTGGCGGCGGGCGGGCAGGCAGCCCCTCTCTTGCGAGACTTCCACCGCGCTGCCAGGGGAAGCCGGAAGCGGCTGAGGAGGCAGCCTGAGGGAGGAGGAAGAGGAGGGGATGGGGAGGGACGCAGAAGGGCGGCGCTTCAGCGGCTGCCGCAGCGCCGCAACCTCCTCATGCTGGGCTTGCGGGCAGCGTGGGCGAGAGTCTCTCTCCCTCCCCCCTCTTTCTTGGGTGGGGAAGGGCCGATGGAACTCCTCGCGCCAGGATGACAGCAGCCCCGACGTGCTGCTTAGCATACCCTCCAACCAGTGCAGCATCTTAATGTAGTGATTTCCCCCTCTGCATCCCTTTCATAACTCTATTTTTATAAATCATTTGTCCATCCATAGTTCACATTTTTACTACAAGTTTTCTGTCAATCCTACCAATGTATGTAACTCTTTACAATAGCTTCTCAACTAAATTATAAACTTTCCCCATTCTTTATTAAAGAGGTCCTCTTCCTGGTTTCTAATTCTGCCTGTAAGCTTTGCCATCTCGACGTCGTTCATCAGTTTTGTCTGCCACTCTTCTTTGGTCGGAGTTGTAGACCCTTAGGATCATTTAGTCCAACCCCCTGCAAAAAACAGTCAGTAGCAGCAAAAGCAGCATGGATCCATCAGTGCCGGATTTCTGTATAAGCTAAGCAAAATCCCTTATTTTGGCTGCTGATCCCGTATTTTCAAGGCTGCTGGTCCCTTATTTTCAAATCTGTAAGTTGACAGCTATGGTCCTCGGATAGAAGGCACCCACTGCCATTTCCTGCCTAGGGGTGGGTGGAGACCAGGAGTGCCTCCTATTGGTCAGGAAGTTGCTGTAGAGGCAGAATTTGGGGGTGGGGGCAGCTGAGGAGGTGGCAGATCCAGCCTCCAAAAAGCGCATCACAGTTGTTATTGCTGCCACTCTGGCCGCAGCAGTGGATGATGCATTCCTTGGAGGCCAGATCTGCTGCCCCTATGAATCCTGCTGCCCGAGGCCCCCACCTCACCTTGCCCCATGGGTGGGCCGGCCCTGCTTGTCAGACTTTCTGCAATAAGTGGAAATCCAGATACGACGCAACCAAAAGTCTGGGCTGACATTTTGAGGATGGTGACATTGCACGGATGCTGTGAAACGCTTGCAGGCCTGAGCAGGGCCAATTCCACAACGAACTCCCGTCCAGAAGCAGCTGAGTGTCTGGAAGAGAATGATGCACATATATGGTAAATATGTAAAAATTGAGGGGCTCTCAGGGTTAAAGGTGTGCCCTGGGATTTGAAAACATTGAAGGCTTCAAGAAAAGCCTTCTTGTTCTTTCCAGTTGCATGGCAGATCAGTTGAGAACATGGCTGTTGTAAAGAATAAGAAGAATCCTTTCCCATGCTTTCTTTAGCAGTGCAACAGCTAAAGCGAATCCGTTCTGCATTGCTTGAACATCAGAAATGCGCAGTCGCGCAGGGGAAGGTCTACGTCACTTCTCATACCCATGCCAGACTCACCCTCCTACAAACTCAAACAAACTTTGCCTAGCTGTCAACTTTCAGATTTGAAAATAAGGGATCAGCAGCCTCACCTGTCCCGGGGACAGTCTATGGGATATCTAACAATCCGGGATAGCAGCAGGAAGCAGCAGGAAACGGTGCTAGAATAAGGGAATTTACCACAAAAAAAGGGAAGGTTGACAGCTATGACTGTGTGGAACAGTGAGTGTGGACTCTCATATGAACAGAGATTTCTGATTCAGGTAGGTAGCCATGTTGGTCTGACACAGTAGAAATATATATTAAAACAACAACAACAACAACAAAATTGTCCAGTAGCACCTTAGAGACCAACTAAGTTTGTTCTGGGTATGAGCTTTCATGTGCATGCACACTTCTTCAGATAGACACAGAACAAACTTAGTTGGTTGGCGCTGTGGGTTAAACCACAGAGCCTAGGGCTTGCCGATCAGAAGGTCGGCAGTTCGAATCCCCGCGATGGGGTGAGCTCCCGTTGCTCGGTCCCTGCTCCTGCCAACCTAGCAGTTCGAAAGCACGTCAAAGTGCAAGTAGATAAATAGGCACCGCTCTGGCGGGAAGGTAAACGGCGTTTCCGTGCGCTGCTCTGGTTCACCAGAAGCGGCTTAGTCACGCTGGCCACATGACCCGGAAGCTGTACACCAGCTCCCTTGGCCAGTAAAGCGAGATGAGCGCCGCAACCCCAGAGTCGGTCACGACTGGACCTAATGGTCAGGGGTCCCTTTACCTTTACCTTAAGGTGCTACTGGACAATTTTTTTTTTTTTTTTAGAGATTTCTGATGTTACTGAGTATTGTGAGAAGGAGCTGCAGAATCTCTGCCCTACAACGCTAAAGGTAAAATTAAAGAGGCCTTCAAGCAGGGATTGCCAATGTAGAGCCTTCTAAATGTTTCTGGGTACAGCACCCATCATTGCTGACCACGGGCCACGGTGGCTGGGCCTGGTGGGAACTGAGTTCAGCAACATTGAGATCGAACCACGTTAGCTACCCCCAGCCCTGGACAATCTTGCCCAGGGCAAAAGACCAACAGGCTTTCATCACCTGCCTTTCAGACGTGTGAGATTAGCACAAGGCTGTGAGATAGGGCTCAAACTGGGAGGAGCCTTGCCTGCCTGAAACAACAACAGCTTTTTGAGTCAGCTTCCGGGGGTTGCTGAAATAATGCCAAAAAGCTACTGAACGGGGAAGTTCACAAGGACAGGTTTTGCAATAACCTGGCTGAAGAGCCATCAATCAACCAAACAGTAGTCAGTTATATCTGGGTTGTTCATCTTTCGCTGTGAACTGGCTGCATCCCTTCAGTGTCGTCATGAACAGTTCAGTTTACATAAGTTATGCAGGACTAGCCAAGATATTTTTGCGGGATGTTGTTCTGAGAGTCAACCATCAAAGGTATCTATCTGCCTCTTACTTTTCTGTTCTCGATAGTATCCCAAATGCACAAACACTTTGCTGTTTCTCCCCCTCTCCCTTCTCATTGTAATGTATTAATTTATGTATTCCTTAATGCTCATAAGCGGTTTGCAAAGTATAAAAGTAAGTTTCACCAAGTTTAAATATAAACGTCCATAATCGAAATGCATAACAAAACGACCAGATTAAAATAGAAACATCTTTTAATGAGGGTGAAAGAGGAGAGCGCAAAATATGGTTTGAAGCTCAACATCAAAAAAACTAAGATCATGGCCACTGGGCCCATCACCTCCTGGCACATAGAAGGGGAAGAAATGGAGGCAGTGAGAGATTTTACTTTCTTGGGCTCCATGATCACTGCAGATGGTGACAGCAGCCGCGAAATTAAAAGACGCCTGCTTCTTGGGAGAAAAGCAATGACAAACCTAGACAGCATCTTAAAAAGCAGAGAAATCACTTTGCCGACAAATGTCCGTATACTTAAAGCCATGGGTTTCCCAGTAGTGATGTATGGAAGTGAGAGCTGGACCATAAAGAAGGCTGATCGCCGAAGAATGGATGCTTTTGAATTATGGTGCTGGAGGAGACTCTTGAGAGTCCCATGGACTGCAAGAAGATCAAGCCTATCCATTCTGAAGGAAATCAGCCCTGA